TGCAGTAGCTGGTACTGCTGCTGCTGCTGTTGCTGCTGCTGTTGTTGCTGCTGCTCCTGTTAAGCCTGCATGATGCTCTTCGGACCGTAGACACGGAGCTGCTGCTGTCTGCTGCTGCTGCTGCTCCTGCAGGAGAATAAGAAGAATAAGAAGAATAAGAAGAATAAGAAGAAGAAGAAGGAAAAGAAGAAGGAGAAGAAGAATATATTTGATGAATCCTTGTATAAGGAGAAGAATAAATGACGCCGCTGTCTTTACGACCAGCCATGGTAGAGGAGGCGCCACGAGGGTGCCCTTATAAGGATTTATATATATAAATAAAGAAATATAAATTTAAATAAAGAGAAGAAAGGAAGAAGAAAAGAGGAAAAGGCGAAGCATAAAAGGAAAGAAACAGGAAATCATCGGCAGCAATACAAGAAATAAGCCTATATATAACGATATAAGGGGAATGTTAAGGGGAAAATAAACATAAAAAGAAAAAAGACAAAGATTTAATTGATGAATCAATTAAATATATATAAATTCCCTTTTATCTTATGGGCTTGAAGGAAATAAGAAGAAAAGAGGGAGAAGAATACATGAACACGCATGTATGTATATAGATAATATATAGCTAATAAAGGCACGCAGAAGGATTCCCTTGGATCTGCGGCCTTTAAATAATAAAAGAAGAGAAAATATAAACAATTATTACTCTTCTAATATATAAAATTAAAGTTTTAATGAAGAAAAGTTCTGCTTTCTTCTTCTTGCAATACAAGAAAGCTGAACATACACCTCAATATTCACCACCAATCGAGTCCATCGTGCAGGGCCGGTACAACACTCCTTTTTTCCCCCTTTTTACACTCTTTTTTCATACAATAATTTAAATCACAGGGTACTTTGACGAATTAAATAAGAATATCTAAAAAATTCCATCAAAAGCACCTTTTTTCCCTCGTGTTTCCTCTTTTCACGACGCCAGACACGAATGGCTAGCCAGGACATTTCCTGAAAAATAAGGAAAAAAAAAAGAATATTTAAAGAAAAAAATACCTTTATTTATAATACTTTATTGTTTATTTCTTCTTTATATAAAAAAAGAAGAAAAAATTTTATTAAATTTCTTGTATTTCCTTAGGCCGTCGCCGACGATCATCATCGTCTTTTCCTTCATCGCCTTGTATTCATATTCGATGGTAAGAGAAGAAGAAAAAAGAAGAAAAAAAAAGGCAATAAAGAATAAAAGATGAATATTTTTCTTCTTTTTTATATATATTTATAACAAAATAAATAAAAAATAAATAAATAATTAAATATATTACTACATTTCTTCCTGGACAACAAAAAAGACAACAAGACAAGACTCTGTCCTTCCTTGTTAGACTATCAGTCCCAGTGTCTGTCTGTCTAGTAAGGAAGTTAGCTTAATGGCTAGCTAGCTGGCTAGCTAGCTAGCTAGCTAGTTGTACCTTTACCTCCTCTACTAGTATACAGCAGGAAGCAGCTAGGGGGGTATAAATATGCATGCATAACGCCTCTCCTCCTCATCATCTACTAGGGGTGGTCTTCCTTAGTTAGTGCTGTATCAATAGCCGCTATTTCCTGCTGCTGTTGCAGCAGCTGCTGCTTCTCTTGCTGCTCTTGCTGCTGCTCTTGCTGCTCGTGCTGCTGCTTTTGCTGCCTTTGCTGCTGCTGCTGCTGCTGCTGCTGCTGCTGCTGCTGCGCCTGTTGCGTCTCCTCCTGTCCTTTTTTCTTGATATATTTATTAATAAATGCATTAATTAAATAATACGTATAAGAATTAAATAATCCTCTAATTAAGGAGAAAAAAAGAAAAAAAAAGGGAAAGAATTATATAAATTAAATAAATAAAAGACAGCAACAGCAAGAGGATATTTATATATATAATTATATCTATATCTATATTATTATTATTTATATTTATATTATTATTTATATATATTATTTATTTATATTATTATGCGCATGCACACTAATTGCTTATACAAGTATATAAATGTATTTATATTTCTCTATTTATTTCCCTATTCATTAAAGAAAATAATTATAAATATAAATAAATATATTTATTTATTTATTTATTTATTTATTTATTTATTTATTTATTTATTTATAATTATATAGATAAAAAAGATTAATAAGAGTGCTCGTCCTCCTTCCCGAACAACAGAGGAAGGGGGAGGGGGAGAGGGGGAGCCAATCTGTTGTATTTTTCTTGTTTTTTTTCCTTAATAAATAATAATAATAATAATAATAATAATATATTTATTGTTAATATATTTAATTATTTATTTATTTATTTATTTATTTAATTAACTATTTGTATGTATTAACTATGTCTATCTATTACCCTATTAGGTGCTCAGTACTAGCCTATATATATCTATATAGTATTATTCACTAAGAAAAAAGGTAATCAGCAGCAGACAGCAGCAGCAGCAGCAGCAGACAGCAGCAGCAGCAGCAGAAAGAACAACAAGAACAATAACAATAAAGTTTGCAAGAAAAAATAAATAAATAAGAAAAATAAAGAGCGCATGCACAATAAAGAGGCGCGCCTTTTTTTTTTATTTATTTATTTCTTGGGTATCCCCTCACTAAGGAGGTCCCACGTCTGTCTGTGTCTGTGTCTGCTGCTGCTGCTGCTGTTGTTGCTGCAGCAGCAGCAGCAGCATCAGCAGCAGCAGCAGCATCTGCTGCTGCTGCAGCAACACAGAAACAAGGGCGGTTTGTGCAGCTACAGGAACAGCTGTGCATCAGTATAATCATTATCTGCTGCACATGCTGCATCTGCTGCTGCATGTGCTGCAGCAGCAGCAGCAGCAGCAGCAGCAGCAGCAGATTAATCATCAATATTTTGTTGCTGCTGTGTCTTAATGAATTGTTTAGATGATTTATGTTTATGATTATTTCTCCATGAATTAAATGATTGTGTAGGGTTTGCATGCATGCGTAGACTAAAAGAGGGACGAGAGGAACAGGGTTGGTGGTTATACACCCCACCACCACCACCACCACCACCACCAGCAGTACCACCACTAGTACCAGCAGCAGCAGCAGCAGCAGCAGCAGCAGCAGCAGCAGAAGCAAAAGAACCACTAGATTCACTATCTATTTCCTCTACAGGACCAGTACCATATAACACCATCGCTACTTCCTCTAAATACATCACATAAGGAAGAACATATTTACAAAATAAACGACGACGATTTAATTCAAATACCCTGCACACAAATATATACACATAAACCCTAAACCCTAAACCCTAAACCCTAAACCCTAAACCCTAAACCCTAAAATTTTTTTTTGAATTTTTTGAAGAAAGTGTATATATATAATCATATTATTTAATCATAGATAAACACCCACAAAAAAAAAAAAAAAAATCCTAAACCCTAAACCCTAAACCCTAAACCCTAAACCCTAGACCCTAAACCCTAGACCGTGGAGAAACGTAACGTACCGTATATAGAATGCTCTGGATGTGAATGCGACGAAGAAGAAGGAGACAAGAATAGTAAAGAAAGCAGCAGCAGTTTTTTGTTGAGGAGTTAATAAAAGAAAGAAAGAAAGAAGAATAGAAATAAGACAGATAATACATGCCATAATATATGTTGGATCCCTTACTACTAAGAAAAAAGTTATTTGTAATAAAGATACTAATATAGGACTACATAAATTAACAGATAAAAAAGGACAAACTGGATATACACCAGGAAGTAAAAATAAATGAAATGTTTGATCCAATATTGGAAATAATAATCTGCACACACAAACCCTAAACCCTAAACCCTAAACCCTAAACCCTAAACCCTAAACCCTAAAATTTAGATTTTAATATATAAATTGAAAATAGTTAGTATGATAATGTGTTTGATGAACAAATAAACAAGAAGAAATAAATACTTCAACTAAACCCTAAACCCTAAACCCTAAACCCTAAACCCTAAACCCTAAACCCTAATATAGGTGAATAGAACTTACTGTACAGCGGATACAAGTAGCAAGAGACGATTTAATTTATATCCATCGCCAACAGCACTAAGATTAAAGGAAGAAGAAGAGGAGGAAGAAGAAGAAGAGGAGGAAGAGGAGGAGGAGGGAGAAGAGGAGGAGGAATCAGGGAAAAAATTAAGTAATTTAATTTTCTTAAAACAACGAGGAAAAAGAAGAGGAGATAAAATAATAAAAGAAAGCAAAGGTTGCAACAATAAACGTGCAGCAATAACACCAATTACTCCTGATACACCTAATGGTGATTCCTGTATACACAAACAAATAAATAAATAAATAAATAAATAAATAAATATAAATAAATAAATAAATAAATAAATAAATAA